TCCTGAAACCAGTATCTGTGGTTTAGAGACCTCATGGTCTGAACCAGTAATCTGTGGGTTAGAGACCTCATGGTCTGAACCAGTATATGTATGTTAGAGACCTCATGGTCTGAACCAGTATCTGTGGGTTAGAGACCTCATGAATGTCTGAACCAGTATCTGTGTGTTAGAGTACCTCATGGTCTGAACCAGTATCTGTGGGTTAGAGACCTCATGGTCTGACCAGTATCTGTGGGTTAGAGACCTCATGGTCTGAACCAGTATCTGTGGGTTAGAGACCTCATGGTCTGAACCAGTATCTGTGTGTTAGAGACCTCATGGTCTGAACCAGTATCTGTGGGTTAGAGACCTCAAATGGTCTGAACCAGTTATCTGTAGGTTAGAGACCTCATGGTCTGAACCAGTATCTGTGGGTTAGAGACCTCATGTCTGAACCAGTATCTGTGGGTAGAGACCTCATGTTGAACCAGTAATCTTGTGGTAGAGACCTCATGGTCTGAACCAGTATCTGTGGTTAGAGACCTCATGGTCTGAACCAGTATCTGTGGGGTTAGTGACCTCATGGTCTGAACCAGTATCTGTGGGTTAGAGACCTCATGGTGGCTGAAACCAGTATCTGTGGGTTAGAGCCTCATGGTCTGAACCAGTATCTGTGGGTTAGAGACCTCATGGTCTTGAACCCAGTTATCTGTAAGGTTAGAGACCTCATTGGTCTGCAACCAGTATCTGTGGGTTAGGAGACCTCATGGTCTGAACCAGTAATCGGTGGGTTTAGAGACCTCATGATGGTCTGAACCCAGTATCTGTGGGTTAAGAGACCTCATGGTCTGAACCAGTATCTGTGGGTTAGAGACCTCATGGTCTGAACCAGTATCTGTGGGTTAGAGACCTCATGGTCTGAACCAGTATCTGTGGGTTAGAGACCTCATGGTCTGAACCAGTATCTGTGGGTTAAGACCTCATGGTCTGAACCTTCTTGGGTTGGACTCATGGTCTGAACCAGTATCTGTGGGTTAGAGACCTCATGGTCTGAACCAGTATCTGTGGGTTAGAGACCTCATGAATGTCTGAACCAGTATCTGTGGTTAGAGACCTCATGGTCTGAACCAGTATCTGTGGGTTAGAGACCTCATAATGGTCTGAACCAGTATCTGTGGGTTAGAGACCTCATGGTCTGAACCAGTATCTGTGGGTTAGAGACCTCATGGTCTGAACCAGTATCTGTGGGTTAGAGACCTCATGGTCTGAACCAGTATCTGTGGGTTAGAGACCTGATGGTCTGAACCAGTATCTGTGGGTTAGAGACCTCATGGTCTGAACCAGTATCTGTGGGTTAGAGACCTCATGGTCTGAACCAGTATCTGTGGGTTAGAGACCTCATGATGGTCTGAACCAGTATCTGTGGGTTAGAGACCTCATGGTCTGAACCAGTATCTGTGTTAGGTCATGTGTACCATATTGTGGTAAGACCTCATGATGGTCTGAACCAGTATCTGTGGGTTAGAGACCTCATGGTCTGAACCAGTATCTGTGGGTTAGAGACCTCATGGTCTGAACCAGTATCTGTGGGTTAGAGACCTCATGAATGTCTGAACCAGTATCTGTGGTTAGAGACCTCATGGTCTGAACCAGTATCTGTGGGTTAGAGACCTCATGAATGTTCTGAACCAGTATCTGTGGGTTAGAGACCTCATTTGACAGATGGGTTCTGAAACCAGTATCGTGGTTGAGACTCATGCTGAACCAGTATCTGTGGGTTAAGTACCTCTAATGTTCTGAACCAGTATCTTGGGTTGAGACCTCTAATGGTCTGAAACCAGTATACTGCTGTGGTTTGGTAGACCTGAATGGTCTAAGCAGCATCTTGGTTTGCGGTTCGAGAAATCAGGAATGTCTGCAACCATTATCTGTGGTTAGAGACACCTGAATGGTCTGACCAGTTATCTGTTTGGTTAGACGCTCATCCTGAACATGGTTTACACTGAATCAGTGTTATTTCAATGCTGAATGTCCAGCTTAGACCTCATGAGTTTCGAAACTGTATCTTGGCGCTGTAGGTGACTCTATGGCTTCTAATGCGTATCTGCGGTTAGAGATCATCTATGTTCCCAGATCTTGTTAAGCTCGAATGAGTTGAATCATGCTATGATTGTTCAGAGCACGAAGTGCTAGCATCCAGTACTGTTGGTCAGGTACTCTGAATGTTTAATCCACTTTTAATCAGCTGAACATGGATTAGCAATGATTGATAGAAAAGATTTGCGAAATCCTATTGCTGCACAGAAAAATAATCTAATATGATATTAGCTCGTTTAGCGGCATCATTTGATCAGTTATGGGCCCTTCCTCAGCAGTTTAGCCTGAAAGATCCAGGCCATATTAGCATGCCAGTGCTATGGTTATTTTGGTCAGGATGTTTGCCTGAAGATCCAGGCATATTAGCATGCCAGGCTATGGTATTTGGTCAGGATGTATCGCCTGAAAGATCCATTGCATATTAGCATGCAGTGCTATGGTATTTGGTCAGGAATTTATCGCCTGAAGATCCAGGCATATTAGCATGCCAGTGCTATGGTATTTGGTCAGATGTATCGCCTGAAAGATCCTGGCATATTAGCATGCCAGTGCTATGGTATTTGGTCAGGATGTATCGCCTGAAAGATCCAGGCATATTAGCATGCCAGTGCTATGGTATTTGGTCAGGATGTATCGCCTGAAAGATCCAGGCATATTAGCATGCCAGTGCTATGGTATTTGGTCAGGATGTATCGCCTTGAAAGAAACATGCTGTAGGGATTTCTAGTGGCATTCATATGAATTATGATAATGCCAGAGTTGAGGAAGTCGTATCCATTGTTTCCCCGTTTGGCTTTCGTTTTAAAAGGCGTTCGAAAATGAGGTGGATATCAAAATTCTAAAAATAGATGTTTCCGTTACAAGCACGTTTAGTCTTAGCGGATTGACTACATGTCTTTGGGCAGCGTTACTTCCTGAAGTTTTTCAATCCCCTTTTAATATAAACAAATGTAATTAAGAAATGTAAATTGAGAAAAAGATTTTGCAGAAAAAATTATTAAAATCTTACCAGAAAAAAAAAAAATCACTAAAAAAATATAAGGGACTAAATGGATTCAATGAGATTTATTCAGCAACTCCCCGAAGTACAAAACTTTAAAGCCGCCATTCACACACACTTCTATGACAAACACACTTCCCGATCACACAGAGGGGCTCTTTCTGTGACCGTGTCAATAAACACAGCACAAACATGGAGGTAACATGTGAATCCCAAATAGCACCCTATTCCCTATAAGGCTCTGGTCAAAAGTAGTGCACTATCTAGGGAATAGGGTGAGACACAGGCCCTGTGACAACTAGCTGACCTGCAGCATTTCAACAATTCACTTCAACAAGAGAACGCTAGGAAGGAAGTTTTCAAAGTTATTTTCGTCAAAGAGGGCGAGGAGGAAATGCCCACAGGGATATTTTAGATTATCAATATCAAAAGCTGTACAAACTGTATACATATTATAGAAGTTCTCACAAGTCACAAAAACATCCAATATTAAAGTAGACGTTTCCACGTGACGAGGGGGAGAGGCTTTGTACAAATCTCATATTTTTAAAACAAAGTTTAAAACAAAATGCACACAGGAGGAACTCAAAAATAAAAAAATACAAGCACCTCACAGCCACCTGAAAAAACATTTGAAATTAAGTGCTTAATAAAATTAGGGTGGGATTATACACCACTCACAATTCATTCATTCATTCAGAGCAGCACATCTGTCCAGTGAGGAGACGTCAGTTGAACGTTTTTTAAAAACTAGGCAGTATTTTATTCCTCGTCAAGTCCGGCAGTGACTTGTAGCGTCGGGTCAAAGAAAAAAAAACACCAAGTGGGTCCAACTGGTTAAGGATAGGACATGGTTCTCCAGTCACATGAAGCACAGCGGTCAGCCCTTAACACCATGTCTGCATAATACTAGATCTGACTCTGCTGACATCTGGACTACGGAAGGGGAATAAAAGACCGGGGTAAAACTGGAACGTCCTCTGGAGAGTAGAAGGCTGTAGTGGTTTGGGTCTTCCTGAGGCTGGTGGACCAGTCTCGTAGGGGTGTAGGAGTGGCAAGGAGGTATACGGTTAGTGGTGAAACGGCAGGGTGTTAGCTTCATCCGCTCTTGGCTATGGGGCAGTATGGTAGGGGGTTAGGGGGGAGATGTAGTGGTGAGGGGCAGTATGGTAGGGGGTTAGGGGGGCAGTATGGTAGGGGGTTAGGGGGGGCAGTATGGTAGGTGGTTAGGGGGCAGTATGGTAGGGGGTTAGGGGGGGCAGTATGGAGGGGGGCAGTATGGTAGGGGGGCAGTATGGTAGGGGTTAGGGGGGCAGTATGGTAGGGGGGCAGTATGGTAGGGGTTAGGGGGGGCAGTATGGTAGGGGGTTAGGGGGGCAGTATGGTAGGGGGTTAGGGGGGGCAGTATGGTAGGGGGGTAGGGGGGGCAGTATGGTAGGGGGGGCAGTATGGTAGGGGTTAGGGGGGGCAGTATGGTAGGGGGGGGCAGTATGGTAGGGGGTTAGGGGGGGCAGTATGGTAGGGGGTAGGGGGGCAGTATGGTAGGGGGTAGGGGGCAGTATGGTAGGGGGTTAGGGGGGGCAGTATGGTAGGGGGTAGGGGGGGGCAGTATGGTAGGGGGTTAGGGGGGGGCAGTATGGTTAGGGGGTAGGGGGGGCAGTATGGTAGGGGGTTAGGGGGGGCAGTATGGTAGGGGTTAGGGGGGGCAGTATGTAGGGGGGGGCAGTATGGTAGGGGGTTAGGGGGGCAGTATGGTAGGGTTAGGGGGGGCAGTATGGTAGGGTGTCAGGGGGGCAGTATGGTAGGGGGTTAGGGGGGGCAGTATGGTAGGGGGTTAGGGGGGGCAGTATGGTAGGGGGTTAGGGGGGGCAGTATGGTAGGGGGGGCAGTATGGTAGGGGGGCAGTATGGTAGGGGGTTAGGGGGGGCAGTATGGTAGGGGGGCAGTATGGTAGGGGGTAGGGGGGGCAGTATGGTAGGGGGTTAGGGGGGGCAGTATGGTAGGGGGGCAGTATGGTAGGGGGTTAGGGGGGGCAGTATGGTAGGGGGTTAGGGGGGCAGTATGGTAGGGGGTTAGGGGGGGCAGTATGGTAGGGGGGCAGTATGGTAGGGGGGCAGTATGGTAGGGGGGCAGTATGGTAGGGGGTTAGGGGGGGCAGTATGGTAGGGGGGCAGTATGGTAGGGGGGCAGTATGGTAGGGGGGGCAGTATGGTAGGGGGGTATCATAGCTTCTTCAGCCTGCTGTACAGCTCTCTCTTGCTGCGCTCCCCGGCCCAGGTCCTGCTCTTCAGTCGGAACTTTCTCAAGTCCTCTTTAAAGTCCTGGTGGTTCATGGATCGGTACCCCTGGGGCTCACACTGCATCTACACACACAGACACAGAGAGAGAGACCAGTTACAACCACTATCTGACAGACACACAGAGAGACAGACACACAGAGAGAGACCAGTTGCAACCACTATCTGACAGACACACAGAGAGAGAGACCAGTTGCAACCACTATCTGACAGAGAGAGAGACCAGTTGCAACCACTATCTGACAGAGAGAGAGACCAGTTGCAACCACTATCTGACAGACACACAGAGAGAGAGACCAGTTGCAACCACTATCTGACAGAGAGAGAGACCAGTTGCAACCACTATCCGACAGACACACAGAGAGAGACCAGTTACAACCACTATCCAACAGACACAGAGAGACCAGTTGCAACCACTATCTGACAGACACAGAGAGAGAGACCAGTTGCAACCACTATCTGACAGACACACAGAGAGAGAGACCAGTTGCAACCACTATCTGACAGACACACAGAGAGAGAGACCAGTTGCAACCACTATCTGACAGACACACAGAGAGACCAGTTGCAACCACTATCCGACAGACACAGAGAGGGAGACCAGTTGCAACCACTATCTGACAGACACACAGAGAGAGACCAGTTGCAACCACTATCTAACAGACACACAGAGAGGGAGACCAGTTGCAACCACTATCTGACAGACACACAGAGAGAGAGACCAGTTGCAACCACTATCCGACAGACACACAGAGAGAGAGACCAGGTGCAACCACTATCTGACACACACAGAGAGAGACCAGTTACAACCACTATCCAACAGACACAGAGAGAGACCAGTTGCAACCACTATCTGACAGACACACAGAGAGGGAGACCAGTTGCAACCACTATCTGACAGACACACAGAGAGAGAGACCAGTTGCAACCACTATCTGACAGAGAGAGACCAGTTGCAACCACTATCTGACAGACACACAAAGAGAGAGACCAGTTGCAACCACTATCCGACAGACACACAGAGAGAGAGACCAGTTGCAACCACTATCTGATAGACACACAGAGAGGGAGACCAGTTGCAACCACTATCTGACAGACACACAGAGAGAGAGACCAGTTGCAACCACTATCCGACAGACACACAGAGAGAGAGACCAGGTGCAACCACTATCTGACACACACAGAGAGAGAGACCAGTTACAACCACTATCCAACAGACACAGAGAGAGACCAGTTGCAACCACTATCTGACAGACACAGAGAGAGAGACCAGTTGCAACCACTATCTGACAGACACACAGAGAGGGAGACCAGTTGCAACCACTATCTGACAGACACACAGAGAGAGAGACCAGTTGCAACCACTATCTGACAGAGAGAGAGACCAGTTGCAACCACTATCTGACAGACACACAAAGAGAGAGACCAGTTGCAACCACTATCCGACAGACACAGAGAGAGACCAGTTGCAACCACTATCTGACAGACACAGAGAGAGACCAGTTGCAACCACTATCTGACAGACACAGAGAGAGACCAGTTGCAACCACTATCTGACAGACACACAGAGAGAGAGACCAGTTGCAACCACTATCTGACAGACACACAGAGAGAGAGACCAGTTGCAACCATTATCCAACAGACAGAGAGGGAGACCAGTTGCAACCACTATCTGACAGACACACAGAGAGGGAGACCAGTTGCAACCACTATCTGACAGACACACAGAGAGAGACCAGTTGCAACCACTATCCGACAGACACAGAGAGGGAGACCAGTTGCAACCACTATCTGACAGACACACAGAGAGAGAGACCAGGTGCAACCACTATCTAACAGACACACAGAGAGGGAGACCAGTTGCAACCACTATCTGACAGACACACAGAGAGAGAGACCAGTTGCAACCACTATCCGACAGACACACAGAGAGAGAGACCAGGTGCAACCACTATCTGACACACACAGAGAGAGAGACCAGTTACAACCACTATCCAACAGACACAGAGAGAGACCAGTTGCAACCACTATCTGACAGACACACAGAGAGGGAGACCAGTTGCAACCACTATCTGACAGACACACAGAGAGAGAGACCAGTTGCAACCACTATCTGACAGAGAGAGACCAGTTGCAACCACTATCTGACAGACACACAAAGAGAGAGACCAGTTGCAACCACTATCCGACAGACACACAGAGAGAGAGACCAGTTGCAACCATTATCCAACAGACAGAGAGGGAGACCAGTTGCAACCACTATCTGACAGACACACAGAGAGAGAGACCAGTTGCAACCACTATCCGACAGACACACAGAGAGAGAGACCAGTTGCAACCATTATCCAACAGACAGAGAGGGAGACCAGTTGCAACCACTATCTGACAGACACACAGAGAGAGAGACCAGTTGCAACCACTATCCGACAGACACACAGAGAGAGAGACCAGGTGCAACCACTATCTGACACACACAGAGAGAGAGACCAGTTACAACCACTATCCAACAGACACAGAGAGAGACCAGTTGCAACCACTATCTGACAGACACACAGAGAGAGAGACCAGTTGCAACCACTATCTGACAGACACACAGAGAGGGAGACCAGTTGCAACCACTATCTGACAGACACACAGAGAGGGAGACCAGTTGCAACCACTATCTGACAGACACACAGAGAGAGAGACCAGTTGCAACCACTATCTGACAGAGAGACCAGTTGCAACCACTATCTGACAGACACACAAAGAGAGAGACCAGTTGCAACCACTATCCGACAGACACAGAGAGAGACCAGTTGCAACCACTATCTGACAGACACAGAGAGAGACCAGTTGCAACCACTATCTGACAGACACAGAGAGAGACCAGTTGCAACCACTATCTGACAGACACACAGAGAGAGAGACCAGTTGCAACCACTATCTGACAGACACACAGAGAGAGAGACCAGTTGCAACCATTATCCAACAGACAGAGAGGGAGACCAGTTGCAACCACTATCTGACAGACACACAGAGAGGGAGACCAGTTGCAACCACTATCTGACAGACACACAGAGAGAGAGACCAGTTGCAACCACTATCTGACAGACAGAGAGAGACCAGTTGCAACCACTATCTAACAGACACAGAGAGACCAGTTGCAACCACTATCTGACAGACACACAGAGAGACCAGTTGCAACCACTATCTAACAGACACAGAGAGAGACCAGTTGCAACCACTATCTAACAGACAGAGAGACCAGTTGCAACCACTATCTGACAGACACACAGAGAGAGAGACCAGTTGCAACCACTATCTGACAGACACACAGAGAGGGAGACCAGTTGCAACCACTATCTGACAGACACACAGAGAGAGAGACCAGTTGCAACCACTATCTGACAGACACACAGAGAGAGAGACCAGTTGCAACCACTATCTGACAGACACAGAGAGAGACCAGTTGCAACCACTATCCAACAGACACAGAGAGAGAGACCAGTTGCAACCACTATCTAACAGACACAGAGAGAGACCAGTTGCAACCACTATCTAACAGACACAGAGAGACCAGTTGCAACCACTATCTGACAGACACACAGAGAGAGACCAGTTGCAACCACTATCTGACAGACACACAGAGAGGGAGACCAGTTGCAACCACTATCCGACAGACACACAGAGACCAGTTGCAACCACTATCTGACAGACACACAGAGAGAGACCAGTTGCAACCACTATCTGACAGACACACAGAGAGGGAGACCAGTTGCAACCACTATCTGACAGACACACAGAGAGGGAGACCAGTTGCAACCACTATCTGACAGACACACAGAGAGGGAGACCAGTTGCAACCACTATCTGACAGACACACAGAGAGAGAGACCAGTTGCAACCACTATCTAACAGACACAGAGAGAGACCAGTTGCAACCACTATCTGACAGACACAGAGAGACCAGTTGCAACCACTATCTAACAGACACAGAGAGAGAGAGACCAGTTACAACCACTATCTAACAGACACACAGAGAGAGACCAGTTACAACCACTATCTAACAGACACAGAGAGAGACCAGTTACAACCACTATCTAACAGACACACAGAGAGACCAGTTAAAACCACTCTAATAGGTTAGATCCACACTAGTAAAGGGATCTCCACTAATGCATTGTGAGTAAATAAATGTCTAGTAGCCAAACTCTGTATCCTAACTGAATGGCTTTTGTTAAAAATATTAAATGACCATTTCAATGAATTCACTTTTGATTATTTATTGATAAGGCCATCAAAATGTTTACATGTATGATTGTGGATTGTGTTTTACCTGGAAGTGAGGGAAGAACTCTTTGTAGCCCCCCTTGAGGATGTAGAGTTCTGGGTAGTGCAGGTTAGGGTACTCGTTCATCGTCCTGTCCCTCTCGCGTACGAAGCGACACATCCTGGGACCCCGCTCGGAAGAGAACTCACAGTGGAAGACGAGGAGGACCCTGCGGTCGGGGGAGAGGGGGGCGATGGGGCTGCGCAGGAGGTACTCCTCAACCTGTTCCTCCTGGTGGAGGTTCAGGGCTCCTTTGATGTGACCCCCGTCAAACTCATACGGGTAGCGACAGTCAATCACCATGATCCTCTCCACAAGATGGTCCAGCTGGCCGCTCAGAGCTGACACCATCTGAGGAACAGACGGGTTAGTCCCAGGTTCTGGTCATCCTTAACTACAATACAACACTTAGAGCAGGCCCATATGGACAAACACTCATATCGCCATCAATTTAACTATTTTGTGCGATAACAAATACGATTTAAAAAAAAAGTGAATGGACAGTTAGTTGACATTAGTGTCTGGGCTCTAGACAGTTTTTTCCAGTGCCATGTAGGACAACTGAGATGGTAGCCTATGATAAAACAAAATTCAGCCATTTCATCTAACATATCCAGGAAATGCATGATTTATATTTTGATGTGCAAACGGTCAAAATAGGATCCAGAATTAGAGATCTTGTCTCTTCAGAGAATTTGCTGACATCTGTGCATATTGGCCTATTGACTATTTTATTAAAATGTCCATGTCTCCCGTAATCTGGTTTTGGCTCCACCAATGGAGGGATCCCATTGAACAACGTTGCTGGCTATTCTGGCAATTGGTATATCCAACTCACCTCACAGGGTTCCTAGCCCATGTCCCCAGTTTATTTATTTTTGATTTATTTTACCAGGTAAGTTGACTGAGAACACATTCTCATTTACATTTACATTTTAGTCATTTAGCAGACGCTCTTATCGAGAGCGACTTACAGTTAGTGAATACATTATTATTATTATTATTATTTTTTAATACTGGCCCCCCGTGGGGGCAGCAACGACCTGGGCCCAGTTGGCAGTAAACGCACTCGTGGAAACAAAAAAATAACGTACTGCTATGTGATGGATATATTCTTTTTTTTTTGGGGATGCCTCTTCGCACCCACCCTCCTTCTGAATAGTCCACACGTCTGATGCAGTTTGGAACACGTGGCATAACCAATCGATTATCGCCACGTCTGATACAGTTTGGAACACGTGTCATAACCAATCGATTATCGCCACGTCCGATGCAGTTTGGAACACGTGGCATAACCAATCGATTATCGCCACGTCCGATACAGTTTGGAACACGTGTCATAACCAATCGATTATCGCCACGTCTGATGCAGTTTGGAACACGTGGCATAACCAATCGATTATCGCCACGTCCGATACAGTTTGGAACACGTGGCATAACCAATCGATTATCGCCACGTCTGATGCAGTTTGGAACACGTGGCATAACCAATCGATTATCGCCACGTCTGATACAGTTTGGAACACGTGGCATAACCAATCGATTATCGCCACGTCTGATGCAGTTTGGAACACGTGGCATAACCAATCGATTATCGCCACGTCTGATACAGTTTGGAACACGTGGCATAACCAATCGATTATCGCCACGGCTTTGCACATCCCGCCCCAAGCAGACACCAAAAATGCTCTCAAAAGATCTTCATTGGACCCTGAACAAACTGGAGACCGTTCATTGTCGCGGGGGACTTTAACAAAAGTAATTTGAGAACCGTGCTCCCGAATTACTATAAAAACAGACTGTCCAACGCAGAAGTTTTATGCTGGACATTTTACATTTTAGTCATTTAGCAGATGCTCTTATCCAGAGCAACACAGTTAGTGAGTGCATACATTTTTATACTGGCCCCCCGTGGGAAACGAACCCATAACCCTGGCATTGCAAGCGCCATGCTCTACCAACTGAGCTACAGGGGACACTGTGACACGGATAGAAGGCCATCTCCCTTTCGGCAAATCTGACCATGACTCCATTTTGCTCCCCCCGCCTACAAACAGTCTCAAGAGGGATGTTCTGGTGGTCAGGTCTGTACAACGCTTGTCTGACCAATCAGAATCCATGCTCCAAGACTTTTGATCATGTGGACTGGAATATATGTTCCAGTTGACTCAGTCATCGAATTCATAAAAAACATGCATAGATGACCTGATACCGATTGGTGTCTTTCAAAACTAATCCGAATCAAAAACAGTGGATTGATAGCAGCCTTGTCTGAAAACAGAAGGAGAAAGATGCTGCTTATAAAAACGGCAGGGTGACCGGGGATAATAGTTTGGTTAAACAGTACAAATACGACCTACACAGATTGATCAAGATGGTGGAACACAAGTATAGAGACAAAGAGGAGGAGGAATTCAGGGGTCGGACACAAGGCGTTTGTGGTAGAAGCTCCTGACGATCACAGACTACAAAAAGAAACCCAGCAATGGACACCTACGCCGCCCTACCGGCTGAGTTAAACAGCTTTTTCTCAAGAGTCAGCACAATGCCCCTTAGCTGCCGAGGAGACAACGTGGCTACACTCACAGTCTCCACGGAGGACGTATGGAAGTCATTTAAACGTTTTAACCCTCACAAGGATTCCGGCCCAGACGGCATCCCTAGCCGTGCCTTCAGAGCATGTGCAGACCAGCTGGCTGTTGTGTTCTGACATGTTCAATCTCTCCCTAGCTCAGGCCTCTATCCCCACCTGCTTCAAGATGTCCGCCATCATCCCCCTGCCCAAGAAAGGGAACGTAACTGAACTACTACCGACTAGTAGCACTCACTTCTGTCATCATGAAGTGCTTTGAGAGGCTAGTCAAAGACTATATCACCTCCTCCCTCCCCGACACGCTCGACCCTCTCCAATTCACCTACCGCTCGACCCTCTCCAATTCACCTACCGCTCGACCCTCTCCAATTCACCTACCGCCCCGACACTCCACCCTCTCCAATTCACCTACCGCCCGACAGATCCACGGACGACGCAATCGCCATTACACTGCACACTGCCCTTACCCACCTGGACAAGAGGAATGCTTATGTGAGGATGCTGTTCACGGACTACAGCTCGGCCTTCAATACCATAGTGCCCTCTAAGCTCTCTGCCCTGAACTCCTCCCTGTGCAACTGGGTCCTGGACTTCCTGACGGACCAGCCCCAGACGGTGAAGGTAGGCAACATTACCACCTCCACACTGACCCTCAACACAGGGAACCCACAAGGGTGCGTCCTCCACACTGACCCTCAACACAGGGGCCCCACAAGGGTGCGTCCTCCACACTGACCCTCAACACAGGGGCCCCACAAGGGTGCGTCCTCCACACTGACCCTCAACACAGGGGCCCCACAAGGGTGCGTCCTCCACACTGACCCTCAACACAGGAGCCCCACAAGGGTGCGTCCTCAGTCCCCTCCTGTCCTCCTGTATATACCCACGATTGCATGGCCTCACAGAGTTACTGGTGACAAGAACTCAATATTAACTGGTGAGAAATAAATGACACTCTCAGAAAGCTCGCCATGACACACTCTCAGAAAGCTCGCCATGACACACTCTCAGAAAGCGCGCCGTTATACACTCTCAGAAAGCTCGCCATGACACACTCTCAGAGCGGAGACTAACTACAACAGTAGTTCATTGAAAGCTGTCTTTTTACCAATAGCATTTTGAGCAACGGTCAGATGCTTGTGCTTCTCAGAATGCATCTCTCCCTCCTCCGTGTCACAGTGGGGAGAGGGAGGGAGGGAGAGTCCGCAGCCGACAGCCAAACAGAGACAGGCAGATTCTTTCATAGCAGGATTCAACATAATGCGTAGGCTGTTACTGTTGACCAAGTAATGGTTCTAGAACAATCTACTGGAACGCTGTGTAGCAAAAGCCCCAAGAATTACAGACGGAAGCAAAATGCGTTGGTAAGAGGAAGGCAATGTCGGTGTGGTTACCTTTGGGGTCATCATCCCAGTTTAGCTACTAAAACCTCTATTGGATTAATGTTTGATTAACTTCTTGTTCGACTAGGATAGAACTTCCCTAATATTTGACTACCGTACGATATATTGCTAGAGGCCTTATAAAAGTTAGTTCAAGGAGTGTTTACTAGTCAAATAAACTGAAGGGGCTTGGCAGGCTGGAGGTTGTGAGGAGAGAAGACTGGGGGCCTTGGTCAAAAGCAGTCCACTAAATAGGGAATAATCGGGGGCCATTTGAGACGCATGCTGTATCTCACCATCTCAGGAGTGATGTATTTCAGGTCCTGATGTTTGCCCTCCACGGTGGATAGGACAAAAGGTTTGGTGAAATCTCCAATCAGCTCCTTGTCCTGGTCAGACTCACTAGTGTCCAGCAGCTTCTCAATCTCTGTGTGGTTACAGAACGACTTGGAAGGAGAGAGAGAGAGAGAGAAGGAACAGTTAGATCTCTGTGTGGTTACAAAATGACAGAGAGGAGAGAGGACATTGAGCAGGGAGTACCAGGACCAGTTGACTGTAAGGGGAGACATTGATCAGGTACCTACCATCTTTCTGGGAGAGCAGTCATCCTGGTCTACGGTGGTGATGTGCGTTTCCGCCAGGCTGCGTCGCCTCTTCACCCTGACAGGCGTGTTCTCATCCCGGGGACGCTCGGGACGCTTGAGGGGGGCGCGGCACAACTGACTGGGCATGGAGGGGGAGCGGAACAGACCCCGCGGACGACAACCAACCACCATCTGAAGAGGGTGAGATTAGGAAGAGATTAGATTGGTCTGCAATTATAAAAACTATGGACATCTGCAGCAACCAAATCTAAAGGTAGCTCTACAGAGAAACCAAAAGTCTGCTGGACATTTTAAACCAAGGACAAGACAGATGGTGTCACATCCACAGAACGCCACGCGGCCACGTCACTAGCAGAAGAGGTGATGCCTCCTACCGAGTCTGCTGCGGTGATGTCCCTCACTAGTGGAGCAGTGAGCAGGCTGGCCATCCCCAAGGGCATGTCACACTCCGTCTCTTCACAGTCATCCAGAACGTCAAGGAAACCATCATCATCATCCTCATTAAGGGAGCAGGTCAGGGAGGAGCGGCGCAGAAACATGGGGCTGCTGTCATCCAATGAGTTGAGGCGCTGCGACGAGGGCGGGGACAGCTAGAGGTGAAAGGGAGGAGAAGAAGGCTTAGCTTTCATTTTTTTTTAAATCACTCACAACTACAACAACATCTGGTCCACTGTAATGTGTTGACGTGTGTGAAGGGCTAAGGGGTGTGTCAGTCACTCTCTGTACTACCCACCATGAGTGCTGGGGCAGAGTTGGGCCGACGGGCAAAGTCCTTGTTCTGGCCTCCTCCACTATGGAAGGACCTCGTACGGCAGCGCGACGCGGGCTTGGAGGGCTTCTTAAACTCAAACCCCTCCTCCTGGTTCTCCTTGTTGCCCTGTCCGCCATGCCCAGAGGAGGAGGCTGTATCCTGGACTGAGCCGTAGTGTCCGAAGGCCCCGTAGCGCCGCTGCTGGCTCTCTGGGTCCCGGCTCTCTGGGTCCCGGCTCTTCAGAGCCGGACTGGAGCCAAGCAGCAGCGGTAGAGAGTTGATTCTTCGGATTGGCATTTTACTGTCAAGAGAAGAATCTAGTTGGAACGGTGGATGGACACACTAGATCAATAAATGAGATGAGATGTTCTGCGTTAATGATCCCAACAACTCCCCGAAGAGCAACATAGCTAGGCTGAGTAGGAAAAAATAAAACCGTTGATTATTGGTTGTTGGCAGGTCACTGAACTACCCAGGTCCTTCTCCTTGAAACCAAGAGAGTAGAGCAGCAGAGGGTGGCACTAGCTACATGACTTACTCATTGCCAACTCTCCCAGACTGCAGAAAGGCCTTCTCAAACCTGCAGGAGAACAAAAGACAAAACCATTCAGTGAGATAATTAGTGGAGAAACTTCTGAACCAGTGAGGGGGTGACTGAGCCAAGCAAGATCCCACCTAGGTAGGCGGTCCCAAATGACACCCTATTCTCCGGCCCTGGTAAAAACAGTAGATAAGGAACAGGGTGCCAGTTGGGTTGCATCATAGCTTAAGGTCTGTCTAGTCGGGTTTATAAAAATGTGCAATGAGCATAAAATGACTCATTTATAATAGGAATTGGCAACTCATTCTCATTCTGATAAATAAGCATCTTATCCAAGGTAGGCGACTTGATTTCAACATCTAAATAAAGCGAACCGGTTATGTTGTTCAAACAGTTGGGAGACGGACAGGAGGGTGTGTTCATAACAGTTCAACTGTTCTACCTCGTTAGCAAGCAAATAGATCTACGTTTGCTAGACTTTAAATATGAAGATTAGCCGGCTACTCACTAGCACGTGGACTTTATGCTTGAGAGATCGATTATGATACCTGTGTTCATGTTCTATAATGTCTGCTACCAGAAGTTGGTCACTATTGGTGAATGTGGTTCTGGTCAAATGTGTAACAAAAAAAATTTCATAGGACAGGCTTGAAAGCCAGATCAGTGATTCATGGAGAAAAAAAAAGCAAGTTAAACAATTTTGATAAAATAATTACATTATTAGTGGGTCTTACAGTTGTAGAGTTAGCCTAGGTATAATTTCGCACGCCCTGAATTCATTAGATTATTGCAGACTGTTTAATATGCAGTGTATTGACCTTAACATTGTGCAACAAAGCTTAGAGAAAACATGATTTAAAATATATATATTGTGAATCACCCATACGAATGATTTTTTTTTTATTTATTTTTTTAAAGATATCTTGCCTTCAGAAACTATTCAAACCCCTTGACCTTTTCCACATTTTGTTGTGTTACAGCCTGATTTTTATTTTATTTTTTATCTCACCCATCTAAACACAATACCCCCATAATGACACGGTGAAACTACAGAAATCTCATTTACACAAGTATTCAACCCCCTGAGTAAATACATGTTAGCATTGATTACAGCTGTGAGTCTTTCTGGGTAAGTCTAAGGGTGTTCACATATAGTCCTCTTTAAAAAGAAACCCATCTCAGTTCTCTTTAAAGTGTATTCACACTGCCCTCTGCTTTGAATGAGGACTCAACTCTTTTGCCCAGTTTTTACAAAGTGCAGGACAAGCCATTCCGTGTCATCGGACAGCTAGATACAGTTGAAGTCGGAAGTTTACATACATCTTAGCCAAATACATTTAAACTCAGTTTTTCACAATTCCTGACATTTAATCCTAGTAAAAATTCCCTGTTTTAGGTCAGTTAGGATCACCACTTTATTTTAAGAATGTGAAAATGTCAGAATAATAGTAGAGATAATTATTTCAGCTTTTATTTCTTTCATCACATTCCCAGTGGGTCAGAAGTTTACATACACTCAATTAGTATTTGGTAGCATTGTATTTAAATTGTTTAACTTGGGTCAAACGTGTCGGGTAGCCTTCCACAAGCTTCCCACAATAAGTTGGGTGAATTTTGGCTCATTCCTCCTGACAGAGCTGGTGTAACTGAGTCAGGTTTGTAGGCCTCCTTGCTCGCACACGATTTTTCAGTTCTGCCCACACATTTTCTATAGGATTGAGGTCAGGGCTGTGTGATGGCCACTCCAATACCTTGACTTTGTTGTCCTTAAGCCATTTTGCCACAACTTTGTAAGTATGCTTGGGGTCATTGTCCATTTGGAAGACCCATTTGCGACCAAGCTTTATCTTTGACTGATGTCTTGAGATGTTGCTTCAATATAAAATCGACACTTTTCCTTCCTCATGATGCCATCTATTTTGTGGAGTGCACCAGTCCCTCCTGCAGCAAAGCACCACCACAGCATGATGCTGCCACCCCCGTGCTTCACGGTTGGGATGGTGTTCTTCGGCTTGCAAGCGTCCCCCTTTTTCCTCCAAACATAACGATGGTCATTATGGCCAAAAAGTTATATTGTTGTTTCATCAGACCAGAGGACATTTATCCAAAAAGTACAATCTTTGTCCCCATGTGCAGTTGCAAACCGTAGTCTGGCTTTTTTATGGCGGTTTTGGAGCAGTGCCTTCTTCCATGCTGAGCGGCCTTTCAGGTTATGTCGATATAGGACTCGTTTTACTGTGGATATACAGTGGGGGAAAAAAGTATTTAGTCAGCCACCAATTATGCAAGTTCTCCCACTTAAAAAGATGAGGCCTGTAATTTTCATCATAGGTACACATCAACTATGACCGACAAAATGAGGGGAAAAAATCCAGAAAATCACATTGTAGGATTTTTAATGAATTTATTTGCAAATTATGGTGGAAAATAAGTATTTGGTCAATAACAAAAGTTTCTCAATACTTTGTTATATACCCTTTGTTGGCAATGACACAGGTCAAACGTTTTCTGTAAGTCTTCACAAGGTTTTCACACTGTTGCTGGTATTTTGGCCCATTCCTCCATGCAGATCTCCTCTAGAGCAGTGATGTTTTGGGGCTGTCGCTGGGCAACACAGACTTTCAACTCCCTCCAAAGATTTTCTATGGGGTTGAGATCTGGAGACTGGCTAGGCCACTCCAGGACCTTGAAATGCTTCTTACGAAGCCACTCCTTCGTTGCCCGGGCGGTGTGTTTGGGATCATTGTCATGCTGAAAGACCCAGCCACGTTTCATCTTCAATGCCCTTGCTGATGGAAGGAGGTTTTCACTCAAAATCTCACGATACATGGCCCCATTCATTCTTTCCTTTACACGGATCAGTCGTCCTGGTCCCTTTGCAGAAAAACAGCCCCAAAGCATGATGTTTCCACCCCCATGCTTCACAGTAGGTATGGTGTTCTTTGGATGCAACTCAGCATTCTTTGTCCTCCAAACACGACGAGTTGAGTTTTTACCAAAAAGTTCTATTTTGGTTTCATCTGACCATATGACATCATCCAAATGCACTCTAGCAAACTTCAGACGGGCCTGGACATGTACTGGCTTAAGCAGGGGGACACGTCTGGCACTGCAGGATTTGAGTCCCTGGCTGCGTAGTGTGTTACTGATGGTAGGCTTTGTTACTTTGGTCCCAGCTCTCTGCAGGTCATTCACTAGGTCCCCCCGTGTGGTTCTGGGATTTTTGCTCAACGTTCTTGTGATCATTTTGACCCCACGGGGTGAGATCTTGCGTGGAGCCCCAGATCGAGGGAGATTATCAGTGGTCTTGTATGTCTTCCATTTCCTAATAATTGCTCCCACAGTTGATTTCTTCAGACCAAGCTGCTTACCTATTGCAGATTCAGTCTTCCCAGCCTGGTGCAGGTCTACAATTTTGTTTCTGGTGTCCTTTGACAGCTCTTTGGTCTTGGCCATAGTGGAGTTTGAAGTGTGACTGTTTGAGGTTGTGGACAGGTGTCTTTTATACTGATAACAAGTTCAAACAGGTGCCATTAATACAGGTAATGAGTGGAGGACAGAGGAGCCTCTTAAAGAAGAAGTTACAGGTCTGTGAGAGCTAGAAATCTTGCTTGTTTGTAGGTGACCAAATACTTATTTTCCACCATAATTTGCAAATAAATTCAAAAAAAATCCTACAATGTGATTTTCTGGATTTTTTCCCCTCAATTTGTCTGTCATAGTTGACGTGTACCTATGATGAAAATTACAGGCCTCTCATCTTTTTAAGTGGGAGAACTTGCACAATTGGTGGCTGACTAAATACTTTTCCCCCCCACTGTAGATACTTTTGTACCTGTTTCCTCCAGCATCTTCACAAGGTCCTTTGCTGTTGTTCTGGGATTGATTTGCACTTTAAAACCAAAGTACGTTCATCTCTAGGAGACAGAACGCGTCTCCTTCCTGAGCGGTATGACGGCTGCGTGGTCCCATGGTGTTTATACTTACGTACTATTATTTGTACAGATGAACGTTGTACCTTCAGGCGTTTGGAAATTGCTCCCAAGGATGAACCAGACTTGTGGAGGTCTACAATTTTTTTCCGGAGGTCTTGGCTGATTTCTTTAGATTTTCCCATGATGTCAAGCAAAGAGGCACTGAGTTTGAAGGTAGGCCTTGAAATACATCCACAGGTACACCTCCAATTGAGTCAAATGATGTCAATTAGCCTATCAGAAGCTTCTAAAGCCATTACATAATTTTCTGGAATTTTCCAAGCTGTTTAAAAGGCAGTCAACTTATTGTATGTAAACTTCTGACCCACTGGAAGTGTGATACAGTAAATAAGTGAAATAATCTGTAAACAATTGTTGGAAAAATGACTTGTGTCAAGCAAAGTAGATGTCCTAACAGACTTGCCAAAACTATTGTTTGTTAACAAGAAATTTGTGGAGTGGTTGAAAAACGAGTTTTAAATGACTCCAACCTAAGTGTATGTAAACTTCCGACTTCAACTGTATACCTACTTACATTTTGGAAGCGAATAGATTGCATTTGGGGCGGCAGGTAGCTTAGTGGTTAAGAGCGTTGTGCCAGTAACCGAAAGGTCGCTGGTTCTAATCCCCGAGCCGACTAGGTGAAAAATCTGTCGATGTGCCCTTGAGCAAGGCACTTAACCCTAAATTGCTCCTGTAAGTCACTCTGGATAAGAGCGTCTGCTAAATGACCAATTTAAATGTATTCAATTTAAATGTATTTAGTTAAAATGATGAGGTAGAATAATTATAATCAGAAGATAATATTAACATGTAAATATTACTGGTAACAGAATAAATAGCAGAAGAATAACTGCAGATTTAATAATGCTGTAATTGAAAATAGTACACCCAATGTAGGCTACTGCTAGCATTCATTTTGTATCCTGTTGTGATTGTTGTGTGGTCCTCTAGCTCAATTGGCAGAGCATGGCGCTTGAAACGCCAAGGGTAGTGGGTTCGATCCCCGGGACCACCCACAGGTAAAAATGTATGCACACATGACTGTAAGTCGCTTTGGATAAAAGCGTCTGCCAAATGGCATATTATTATTATCACCAAATGTTGTCTTCTCACACTAGTCAAAGCCAATAATCAAATAAACAGCTTATGAAGCTAATGCTTGCATACTTTTTTTGTATGGGTGGTCCGGCAATCGAACCCACTATCCTGGCGTTGCAAGTGCCATGCATTAACCAAATGAGCTACAGAGGACCACAGTTGGTAGCTAAACTAGTGAAACAGACAAAGAGCCTTGCTGGCTCTATAGAGAGGGAGGGAGGGACAGAGGACGGACGGTTACAGCCCTGTGCTAGAGGAGAAGGGTGGTCCCTCCTCGCTCTTTCTGCACCTGTATGCTAAATAAGCAGCGAGGAGAGGAGAGCTGAGTGTGGGGGGGGGGGGGGGGGGGGGGGGGGGGGGGGGAGTACAGAAGACAGGGTCTGCTAATCTTCCGTATGCCTGCTGAAGTAACAACGCTACCCTCAGCCATTCTGCAAGGAGCCTTTGTTTGCAGAGTGGAGAACTGAGGGGGGCAGGAGGAGTGTGTCTGGTTCAATGGGGAGAAGGGGTGATTGAGTTTGTTCTCGTAAAGACTATAGGGGGCTTGGGGGTACGAGGTGCCCCCTATTCAATATCTCCGGCACAGAGACCGGCGACCCCTCCCCTTTACCATTCAAACCATAAGACAGACAGGCTATGAGTGTGCCAAAAAACAGGGGGGGGGGGGGCTATCACTATTAAATCCCAACACCGGTTACCCCCCCCCCCCCGAAAATACTGCAGTGAGCCATTAAACAGCTGTACGGGAGCTGAATGAATGGCCTCAGAACAAATGCTGCAGCCAAGTGTTCAGAGACGTCAGCAGATGTCTGGATATTCACCCCGAGTGTGCCGAGACAGAGACCCCGCGAGAGACTACCCACAGATTATAGGCTAGAGCAGATAATGAAACAAACTATGTAGATAATGGCATCGATATGACAGAGATAACGTGTTAGCACAACACTTTAAAAGAACCACTTGGGAAAATGCAGCCGTTTCTAAACTTTGACAGGGCCCAGGTCCTGTGGACAAAATGTCTCTAGAAAAGCTCTCAAGTTACCTAACAAAGCCTTTCTCAAAAGTCCGGTAGATCAAATATCTACGAGGGTCTTCACACTTGCTAGACTTCTCGCGAAAATACCCTTGGCTACACATATAAAGCAACGTAAACTTGTCACGTCTCGACTGCTACTTCCGGGGGTAATTCACGACACTCGCCCAACAGCTGCCCCCTTCAAGCAGGGCAGTGTAAACAGAAATGTCTTGTTGCCCCAACAGTAAAAACTGTAATAGCATAGCAGTTTTTGAAACAACTCAAAAACGTAGAGACATTTCTTATTTTTGGCACTTGTTTTGAGTTACCTGAAATTGTAGCAATTTGCTTTTAACTCATGACAAAGTATATTGAGCAAATGAAGCCTGGTTTGTTCTAAGGTAACTTTAATACGGTACCTAGCGTAAGCCTAAGAGCTCCTATCTAGCTATGGTTCAGCTAAACATCAGCATTCAGCCAGCACCTTTGTGAGGATGCAGAAATTATTTAGTTTAGCTAGCTAATGTTACCTAGCTGTGTGGCCTATATTATAATATGACACTATGATAACGTTACTGTACTTTTATATATATATATTAGTATGGGAGGGGTAGATGTTCATTATTGATATGCTAATGTTACTTGATCGTGAAGCATGTTGTTCGTTAGCAGGAGTTAGCTGTGCATTGTCAGCTAAGTTAATGTGTACGGACGAGAAAATAACCCATTTTAATTATCTGCACATGCTTGTGGATTGTTGCATTATTCAAGAGTGTAACATGGTTTGGTTTCATTATTTAATATTGTAATATGTTTTAGAAGAAAAGTTGCTTGGATTGTTGAGTAGTTAGTGCTTACTGGCTACTGTGATATTTATGGTCAATTCGAGCTGCGGACCAAGAACGTGGCATTGCCAGCCACCGCGAAGGGTAAGGCAAGGATGTAACGTGAATTGAAAAGTAGAAAACTCTTGTCACTCCATCTTACGTATTGGGAATAGGGCCTATTACATAACAGCACCTGTTTGCTTCAGTAATACAGGGCAACAGGAATGGTATTGCATCTTTATGGGGGTGCAATGAATCATTAGTTGAATTGAATGTAGATTGAACATCTTCAATCAGCCTCAACTCCTGTGATCAAAAGGAATGTTGCCCTATAATCATCTTATCTGCTTAATGAAAATGAACGAAGCATCAAGCTATGGAGCTTTACCAACGGCACAATGAAGCTTTACCAACGACACAATGACAGTAAGCACAACTGATGAGATGGACTAGCCAGCCGTGTTCAGTTGGAATATGAAGGGGGGGGTGGAGGAGAATAAGAGGGGGGGGGTGGAGGAGAATAAGAGGGGGGGTGGAGGAGAATAAGAGGGGGGGTGGAGGAGAATAAGAGGGGGGGGGTGGAGGGATAGTAGGGAGGAAGGAAAGGCAAGAGGGGGGGACGCAATGCTACCACAGAGAGACTGATTGGGACAGACAAGACTATCACTTACCTCTCCTCAACATCCATGGGTTCTATGGGGCTGGGGGAATCCATACCAAGACCTGGAGGAAGATGTAGAAACGAGTCTCAGTTAGCCGTTAGCTCATTGCACAGTTGTAACAGTTAAAATAGTAACAATGCAAATTCTGAACACATTTACACACACGCCTAAACTAAAAGGGTGCCACGGGAGTAAATATCCAATCCTGTACAGTTAGGCTTTTTGCCTGTCCCGTTCATAACATTTCAATCCTATCGTGTCCTGTACTGGCACCATGTCCCTCATGCTTTCAAGGTGGTCAAACTGCACAAGTAAAAAGAAGAGTGGAACTAAAAACAGAGGACATGACAAAATATAAGGCCTATATGGGATGAACAGAAAACGAATAAATAGTTCAAGTAGGAAGCTGGTGTTCCTATTGTCGCCATCTTATTTACACTTTTTGGGGTTAAACATTTGCAGCCATCTTATTATGTTGTCTTACCAGCATCAGACGAGCAGTCGGAGGCGAAGGAGGGAATCTTCAGAAGGGGCACATGTTGTTTCCTCTTGGGAGTATCACATTGTTGGCTGTAAAGCAATGGGGTACACAATCAGACACACTTTGCTAACAGTCAGCAAGTTGGCCATTTTCATTGGCTTGAAACAAACAAGTGGTTAGCTAGCCAAGTTAGCAAGCTAACTAGCTAGCTGATATAGCTAGGGTAGCTAAATGTTTGTGTCATATTATCCAGAAAACTAGCCCAACGTTAGCTAGCTCATGGCGAACCCAACCAAGATTATCGTTCAGTTCACACCCAGTTAGCTAGTATGGAAACATAGCCAGCTAGCCAACATAGCAACACACGTTTTTATGATACTCTTACCTTCCAAGACCAGCTAGATTGTTCATGTTTAGGGCCAGATTAGTGACGGGTGACAGTACAGTTGTTGGTCCAGGAGAGAAGAGATTATCGGGCACCGACAGCGAGGAAAGCCCGGGGATTCTGTCGGGCCTGTTGACCAAGTTAGCGGCGATAGAGCTGAAATCGCTTGTAACGTTTTTAAAATCCATTCTTACAAGCTTGCTCAAAAATCTATTTTGATATCTGTTCTGAGCGCCAAAAATCCTTGAACGTAGACCAATCGAAAGATCAAGGGAACAACTACTGTTACGCGTTAGCTAGCACCCAACTTAGGAATTTGCAGAATTAATGTGAAGAGCAATGAAGGCAAAAGTAACCATGGCACGCTGTTTGCAGACCCCGTCTTGCAAAAACAAAAGAAAATCGATAACAATCTTGTCTGGAAGTATATATTATTATATACTGTCAGAGAGCTGCATTGCAATGTACTCTCCCTGACAGACCGACTCGAGTTCTGAGAAAGAAAATGCAGCTGCCTCTATTTAGGTTCAAAATAGAAACTCCCGAGCGGCAATCATTTCGGCCAATCAGATGCGTCGTTACATCCTGCACGTCCAATCAGAGGCGGTTCCCTTTTTTTACCCTTTGTCTGGCAGGAAAATGGGGAGAGTTAGGGTCGTCTACGAACCAATCAAGTGCATCATAGAGGCATGGGTCATGACAGGTAGCCAATGAGATATTATTTATTTCGGGGGGGGGATGCAGAAAAAAAGAAAAGCGACATTTTTCCCGCGGAAGATTTGAAGCGCCTGCTGAAGAAGAACCACGTGACCAACACAGCCAATCGCACAGCAAGACCATTCATACAGCGAGCCACAGCTGTCTTCAGAATTACTATGAGCATTAATAATAAACGTTTTTTTTCTTCTTCCAATAAGTGATAGATAAAGAAATTACAGTTGATTGAATTACAATCTTCTTTACTGTATGAGGGCTATGTAACATTTTCTCCTCTCATAACTTTACAGTTACACCCAACAAGCCAAGGAAGTACAGACCCTTTAATTGATTAGAAAGGGTGTCCTGCTCACGTAGACTTAGTGTTGCCAAAGCCCATATCAACATCATAAACCCATCTGGTGTTGCCCTTTACTCTGAATATAGGCCAAGTACGCTAAATGGCTGTCCTGCTATATGAAGAACTATCTTAGTTGTCCTCCCTTTCCTCTTTTCAAAAATGCTTCATTGAGCACAGACTAGTCCTCCCCCGCCTGATGCACAAAGCAAAGTGAACTCAGCCTATATACTGCTGAAATACTCAAACTTGCTAACAGTGTCTAGTACAGTCTGGTACTCTCATTTTAACAAATAATATATGGTTCTATTGATAGCTTAAACATGGTTTGTTATTATAGACTACAGCTCGACAACAACAATGGTTAGCCTAGGCGGGCGGCCTGCTCTCTGGATTAAACATAAACAAAAAGCGGAAGTTTACCGCCACATCGAATGGACTCGGCCCTCATGGTCAACGACAGGCTGCAATCAACATGATTAACTCTTCACTGAGTGAGAGGCTCTTTAATACGTATACCTTCCAACTGTCAAACTTTACTCACAGTAAAAGCACCCATTCAACCACCCCTGGGGTAACAGTCACATTGCATCTCTGTTGTCTGTGTAGCTTACGTCATGGCAACCTAGAAACATAGCCCTGCAGCTACCCCCATTCCATTCCTTACAAAATGGCTGATGGACAAATGTTCAGCCTTTCACAACAATGGGTTTAAAAACTCTGACTTTAATGTGGGATCTTAATGTGTGTCCCATGACTTCACCATGTGGTGTTATGAATGGAATATGGCGCCGGAGAAGATGGCTGCCGTTTTACAGCCCTCTAACCAACTGTACTATTATGTGTGTTTTTTCTGCGTTATGTGTAATTTATTTTGTACATAATGTTTCTGCCATCGTCTCTTATAACCAAAAAGAGCTTCTGGATATCAGGACAGCGATTACTCACCTCGTATTGGACGAAGATTTTTTCTTCACACACAGAGACGCATACAAAGCACTCCCTTGCCCTCCATTTGGCAAATCTGACCATAACTCTATCCTCCTGATTCCTGCTTATAAGCAAAAACTAAAGCAGGAAGCACCAGTGACTCGGTTAATAAAAAAGTTGCAAAAATGCTAAGCTACCGGACTGTTTTGCTAGCACAGACTGGAATATGTTCCGGGATTCATCCGATGGCATTGAGGAGTACACCACATCAGTCACTGGCTTCATCAATAAGTGCATTGATGACGTCGTCCCCACAGTGGCTGTATGTACATACCCCAACCAGAAGCCATGGATTACAGGCAACATCCACACTGAGCTAAAGGGTAGAGCTGCCGCTTTCAAGGAGCGGGACTCTAACCCGGAAGCTTATAAGAAATCCCGCTATGCCCTCCGATGAACCATCAAACAGGCAAAGAGTCAATACAGGACTAAGATTGAATCGTACTACACCGGCTCTGACGCTCGTCGGATGTGTCAGGGCTTGAAAACTATTACAGACTACAAAGGAAGCACAGCCGCGAGCTGCCCAGTGACACAAAGCTACCAGATGAGCTAAATCACTTCTATGCTCGCTTCGAGGCAAGTAACACTGAAACATGCATGAGAGCATCAGCTGTTCCGGACGACCTTTAAACACCTACTTCATTAACAACCCTAGGGACAGGCAGCAGAGGGAGGAGCTTCCGGTAGAGGGAAGGTATACAAGATGGCGTATTGAACACACAGGTAAAAACCACCTCAAGATAAAAACATAATATTAAATATCAGTAAGTTATACTAAACATTAACATTTAATATAATAACACAAAACAAATTATAAGGCTAGAGAAATTTATCGACAAATATTACAACAACAAGCAACACCCAAACATGACAGAAGATAAACAAGGAATCAATCTCCAAGAGAAAACGCGACTCCTCGACTGATACAGATGATTTATGCTTTTCACCACTGGGACTGGTAAGTGTGGAAAGTGGCTTGTTGAAGTTGATAAATGACAAACTGGGCATACTAGAGTTGGTCAGTAATTATGTAAAAGAATTGAAGGCGAGTCTTGAAATGAGTGACGGAAAAGCTGCGATAATGGAGAGAGATACAAAAAAACTAAAATGGAAACTAGGATGGAAACGGACGTTAAGGAACTTAAAAAGGAGAACAACTTTCTGAAAGAAGCCTTACTAGACATACAGACTAGATCGATGAGAGAAAATCTAGTACTTACGGGTATCCAGGAAAAAGAAGGAGAGGTTACCGAAAAAATAGTAAAGGACTTATTTCTTACAGCGCTTCAAATTCCACTCGAGGCTGTCGACAAGATCCAACTCGAACGTGTACACCGTTTCGGACAAAGAGGACAGAGATATGAGCGTCCAATCGTTGCCAAATTTGCTTTTTTTCAGGACAAAGTAATGGTTAAAAGCCTAGGTAAAAGACTTGCTGGCACGAAAATAGGCATGAATGATCAGTTCCCGAGGGAGATTGCAGAACGGCGCAAAGTTCTGTACCCAATATTCAAGGAGCATAGATCAAAAGGGAAGCGTGTTGCTCTTGTTGTCGATAAACTGTATATTGACAACCAAATGTTCTGCGACACAAACACTACTCCATGGCTATTCTGAAAGTTCTAATAGAGGACTCGGATAATGGAACACCCAATACTAGCCATGGTAGGGATTGGAATGGAACACCCAATACTAGCCATGGTAGGGATTGTAATAATAAAGCACATTTATAGTATTTATAGTATTTTATAAAGGGATAAGACGGTATTACAAGAAAAGATAACAAGCAAAATAATACATCTTCAAATACAACTAAATTAGAACACAAGTACTCAATCAACATAGTGGAGATAAAAACATAGCAAACAGAAGACATGGAAGGCACAGTATGTGGGTCTGTGTGGATGAATCGTGATGGAAGGTGTGGTGTGCGTTTTTGTGTTTGAATAAGTGTGGCTTTAAGTGAGTGAGAAAGGAAATGGTTGCATATCCCAGAACCAACGTGTGTCTGTGAGCAGGGGTTGTGAGAGAGAGCTTTCAATTTTGTGCAGATGAGGGATATACATTTTAAAATATAGTATACATCTAATCGATTTTTTTATTGTCCTATCATGATGGAACGATCCCCAGGGATGTTAGGGAGAATATAGGATGAACCACAATAATTGTTCGCTAAAATAATAATTGCTTGTCAAAAATGTAATGCAAAATAATGGCAATCCGGGTTATAGGTTAAAATCCTATGCATGAACTGCCGACATTATTACGCATATTAATTGATAATGATGGAAATTAAGATATGCAAGATATTTGAATAGATATATATTTTTAAATAGCTATATATATATATATATATATAGGTGAGAGCATTGGAAATGCTTTTGGCGGTTGACCTGCATCTGTTTTGTGGGTGGCACTGTGTCCTGTTGTCGATGGATGGGTCCTGGCCTCTCGGGGCCTTAGGGATCTGGGGGGACGGGGGTGGGATGCCGATCACTGGGATGACGGCTCAACTTGGGATGGGGAGGGGCTTTAGCGGGGGAATTAGTGGAGAACAATTGGAGGGTTACTTAGTAGCAATGCAAATATCACGGTACAGCTATCTAGACACTCAATAACTATGGTATTTTTTATGGGTAGATTTACAAACATATATAATGATAAATAGTTTTGAAACTTGTATCTCATTATGGTATGTGGTGAAATAAGTATAGCCAGTTATAATTGTAATGGCTTAGCTGATAATAACAAAAGAAGAACAATATTTACATGGCTCAAAGAGAAGGAATATAATATCTATTGTTTACAGGAAACTCATTCAACAATTCTAGATGAAGTTACGTGGAAAAAGGGGTGGGGGGGGGGGGGTGGGGGGGGGTTTGGGTTACTTCTCCCATGGGCAAAGAAACTCAAAAGGGGTGATGATATTAATTAACAGTAATTTCGATCCGAATGTGCAAATTGTCCAAACAGATACGCAAGGTAGATGGATTATTTTAAATATGTTATTGGACCATAAACAGATATGGCTCATTAACCTTTACGGACCATATAATGATGATCCACACTTCTTTGACAATATATATGTAGTCCTGGGTAGCTCAGTTGGTAGAGCATGGCGCTTGCAACGCCAGGGTTGTGGCCCACTGTATACAGGGCCGTCTGAAGTTTGCCAATGAACATCTGAATGATTAGAGGAGAACTGGGTGAAAGTGTTTTGTCGTGAGACCAAAATGGAGCTCTTTGGCATCAACTCACTCGTCGTGTTTGGAGGTAGGAATGCTGCCTATTCCCCAAATCCCATCCCCACTGTCATACATTGAGGTGGAATCATCTTTGGGGTCCAACACCACATGTGACTTGGAGAAGATCTGCAAAGAGGAGTGGGACAAAATCCCTCCTGAGATGTGTGAAAACCTGGTGGCCAACTACAAG